CACTAGGATAATTTGAGGAGAAATAAATGACATGATAGGTGGTGCTGACCTCCAAGATCATTGGAGATCAGAGTTCAATTCTGGATGGGAATGTCTATTTTTCTCCATCTAAATGAAATAATTTAAAGTACACAAAAAAACATTTGATATCAAGGAGATCATTCTATATGATGTGTGCAATTCACAGAAATTCTATTGTATAGGTTATTCAACATCATAATATAATAAAATAGAAAAAAGAAAATACTATCTGTTTTTTCCTGAAATTATATTTTTTAAATTTCTCTTGCTACTGCTCTCTCTCTCTCTCTCTCTCTCTCTCTATATATATATATATATATATATATATATATATATATATATATATATATATATATTGACAGTCTGACTTTGAACAAGATTTTTCTCATGAAATATTGGTGGTGGCAGTTGTTGTCATTGTGTATACCATACAATTTCCATGAATTGTGCTCGTCATATATTACAATGTTGTTGAAAGTTCACTTTTGGTGCTTGTTGTCATTAAATGGAATCAATATTTTTTGTTTTTGTCTCTGTAGAATTGGCCACATAGGATGGGGAATATAGTAAGAGCTGTATACTTTTCTAAAGAAAAAAATTTTATATAGGAATATGTAATGTTACAGACACCATGTCTTTAGTCAGATACAAAATATTAATGGATTTATGAGTTGTAAGGTATTTGGTTACAGCAAACTGTATTTTATGGAGAGTCTAGGAACATTAAATGCATTGTACACTCTGTAAGTAAAAATTGATATTTTAATATATAGATTATAATTTAAACTGGAATACATAAAATTATTCTATCAACAGGTGAAAAAATGTAATTTCTTGCTATTTCTTAATTACAAAATGCTTATCATGAAGCAAAAGAATTTTGTTTTACTAGTGATGAATATCTGAATCTAATTTGATGCAATTTTCTTCATCCTCTGAAACCATGATGCCTAAATTATCAAAAAAAAATACTTTGATTCTATTCTTGATGTTGGCTGTTATGTCTGGCCACTTATTTTAAGTTTGAATCCTTACAAGCACATAATTGGTCATCTGGTATTTCTTTTTAGAAATCCATACTTTTGTAGTGGTTGTTATAGAGAACAATTGTTCAAAGGATTCTTATTTATACAAGAATTGTTTATACTAAACCAGCATCCACACTTTAAATCACATTGAGTTGTATACATTTACTTGAGTGTCTTTTTTTAATGTATTTACTATCTAGAATGGAGTATTTAGCTCTTTATGTGTGTTCATATTCAACTTTATTTAAAGTATTTTTTCCTTTGAAAATTAAAACTTATCCAATTCTGCTTATGTATATGTAATTTAATTCTTTCATTGTTCTTTGTGACTCTCATTTATTTACCTGGCAGAATAGTCATAATTATAAAAAAAAAAAAAAAATTATATCTGATATTTCAATTTTGAATAAGAAATATTTTGCTTTGGTTATTTTATGCAAAATTTAATGAAACATAATTATTGCAAATTAAGTATAATGTTTTCTTTAAATATAGGGCTCCATTTTACTCCATGTTGACATTGAGAAAACCTGAAACAATACCTTTTCTAGATAGTTTCTATTTGCTGTTACAGTTAACACCATTAAACACATTTTAAATATTTGTTTTTAGCCATAACATTTCTGCTGCAGATGTGCTTAAATGAATTAGTAATATCAGTCTATAAATATATTTTGTATCTTTCAAGAAGAGCTGATAACTATTAAGTGATTATCAAGTGTACAGTAATCTGAAAACTAAAACAATACATTTGCATCTTGAAAAGAAATGTTGATCATTATAAGCAAATGTTTGTGAAGGGGGGAAAAAGACTGAAGTTTTTGTAATAGTATTAGTTAACAGTGATTTCTACATCACCAAAATTATATAATAGCCATTGTAAGAAATGTGGAGCAGCAAAAAAATTACTTTGATATTGATTTTAGTGAAGCTTTGAATATTTTTAAAATCTCCAGTTTTCACATAGCTAAACATTCTTTTATAATTGATTATAAAACCATTTTTATTCAGGATCAGTTTTTTATTTGTGTATTCAAACCAAAATGATCTTTTAGAACCCTCTAAAAAGAAGCTTTAATTTTTATATAAATCAGGTGAAACAAATTAGTTTGTTTCCTCAATAATTAGCACTGGAATATTAGAATTAATATCTTGAAACAGGGAAAGTTCATTTAAAGAAAGAAGAAAATAACCTTTTTTTTCTTTTCAGTGAAATTATACATGTATAAATTATGTCAGACTAGTTCTTTATATTTTATATTCAATGTGTCCAGTCTATTCAAATAATTGTATATGTTTTGTTTAAGAAATGTTGTCTCTATAACTTAAATGTAATTTTATCTTAAACTTTGTTTTTACATTCCATCTTTACTGATTTGTCAAACCATTTGTTGGAGAAACTTATATAGTTTAATCAAAATAAGTATTGATATTGCCTCTTGTTTATGAAATACTTTTCTCGGCTTTCGTTTCATTTAACATTTTTTTTTTTTTTTGTGATACACTTGAGTTTAGCTGGATTACTTGGTCTTGTATATACCTGCAGGGTATCTGCTGCACAGATCTTAATCAGTTTTCTTAATTATCTGATTTGATTGTTTGATTATTTATATAGATCAACCTGTCTTATAAAGCAAGTCACACTGCTCAAGTAATATTGTGAAATGGCAGAATCTTAAGACAGTAATAAGGTTAAAGATTTTCTCTCTCTCTCTCTCTATTCAGGACATTGGCCACTGATATTGCTACAAATTATACACAAATCAATATATAGTTTTTTTTTTAATACCAGCATCCTAATGCAGTTTTCTGTGTTAAACAATGCATACAACTATCATTTCCAGAATGTAGTGAAATTTTGTCTGCTGCTGCTTGGTTTTAAAGTCAACTCTGGCAAAATTGGTAGCTAATGATTTATAGAATTGACTTTCCAAGCTGTCTTTTGATAGCAACAAAATATTCTATGTAGCCATAAATATAACCAGTTTTTTAGATTATATCATTCTAAGGAATTTTACACTTTTGATAAGGTTTTTCAGGAACAAAGACATATACATATTAATTTATATATGTATTAATTATATTTGTAAAGAAAACAATGCACATTCAGTCTTTGCTATGAGTATCTGCTTTTGAAGGTTCAATTGTGAAGTTCTCTTTATTTAGTAACTAAAAATACCATATCATCTTTATGAAGCCAATACACCTACCATATATTGTACTCACTTGCACACTTTACATGTTGGTGCTTTCTCTGTCTCTCCAATTTGTGCTCTCTCTCAATCTAGTTCTATTTTTCCCCATCCTCTTACAATCAATTTCCTTTGTTTACTATAACTTATCACCTGAATGACAACCAAATGTAGGTTCTTTTTCTTAATCTTTGCCTGCATTTATACCTGAAAGTTTCCATTTATGTTCTTTTCTAGAAGGTCACTTATCTAAAAAGAAACCTTTCTGATGTGTTGCCTAAAATTTTCTGGATTTTAGTAATCAACAAATGGAATTCTTTTCTTGATGTGCTATTCCAAATATATAGACATACCATAAGGATATTAACACTGCTGTTTTTTTCTTCTTTTTTAATTATAGTGTCAGTTATTAGCATAACTTCTGTCCCATAATTTTAGATATGAAATGTCTATGCATCTGTAACAATTATTAAGAGTGGTTATATAATTGAATAGAAACATGTTAAATTTAATTTGGGGACAAAATTCTTGTAAATGGATTTTTGAAATGTTTACAGCCTATTATCTTTACTGATACCAAAACTGCTTATGAATCTAGCAGCAGATTTTGGTATTTTTAACAATTTAGAGAGGAATTGAAACCTATAAAATAAGACATTTTTCCTTGTAGTTTCTTACATGAAACTATTGTTACTATTTCCTCCTATTTCATATTTTGTTTTGCAAATTCACTTTCTCTTATTTCAAGATGAACTTCTGTGCCATTTTTGTGCATTCTGTATGCATTTTTTAGTTTTAGTTTTTCTAATGTATAATATTTTCTTATTTTCTTTTCTTTGACAAGAAATAGTTCAAATTGTGATATATAAGACTGGAAAGCTTTAGTATTTATACTAAAATAAATTTTATAAGAACATTTCACAAGTCTATATATGGCCAAAAAATATTTAATGTGACAATACTTTATCAGTGTTATTTAAACTATTAAAGTTCACCATAAAATCCAGTATTATAGATTTTAAAGAAATTTGGTATTATAGGTTTATACCTAGAAGTATGGAAAATTTCAATAATTATAAAATGCTTTTTCTTCTTGTGGCTGCTTGTTGAGTCAGTTGTTCATTACATCTCCACTAAATTAGATTTTCTTCATTTTGAAGTTCTTTTTTTATAAAGAATAAAACTGAAAAAGAGAAAATATTTTGGAAAATGTAGAACCAATGATGTATTTCTTTATCATTGAGAATAGCTTGTTAGATTAATTGTGCAAGAAAAATTAGTATTGAATGATATTAAACTAGTCAAAATGAATCTTTTTAAAGATTTTAATGAAGACCAGTGTTGCTTAAAGTATTTGCAGATTTTTATAATAAAATATAATAAAAGAAAAATTTGTGCAAATGTTGCAATTTTTGTTTTTAAAACAGATGCATTGTTTTTACTTGGAATTGATTTTTCACCCTTTGATCCTTTTTGCACAAAACTTCCATCTCACTTTTCCAATCTTAATTTCATTTACTTGATTGCTATTTATCATCATTGGGAGATTTTTCAGGAATTTCCCATCAAAATATGTTGCATCATCATTTAATTTCTCATCTTATACACTATTCTCATTTCTACAGTATTCATGATTAACAGTACATTTTATTCCAGAAATGCATTCTCCTTTATTTATGCATGATTTTACATTTGTTTCTTTCTTTTTCTTGAAATATGTTTAGTCAGTCAACTAACAATTTTTTCTTTTAATTTCCAGGTGCCTTGAGGCATTGGTGACACCTGAGAAATCGTGTCTCCTCTCCCATGAATTTTCTGCAGCCCACTGTGTGGGCGTTTTAGAATGCGTACCCGACTCTGTCAAGCTGGCATCACATGATCAAGGGCAGGTAGACTCACTCAAGGCAGGCACTGATGTGTACGAAACTAACCATGATAAGCGTTGGATGAATCCTCGAGTTGATGCCAGTGTTATAACAGGTAACAAAATTTAATCTTCCTATATTTTTCTCTCTTAATTTTGTTTTGATGGACAATAACAAAATATGCAAGAAATATAAAAAACTTCTTCATAGTTAAATACCTAAATTGTTGAAGTATTTACAGATTTTACTATAAAGGACCTTATGATGCAAAAAATTGAACAAAGCTATCCATTTTATTCTTGTATTCATAGCAACATTTAACAGCTAAATGGAAATAGGTGAGATCAACAAGAGGTGTTAAACTATATGACATTAGATAGACAACTACTGTAAATCATAATATTGAATATGAGCACATTTTTGTCTACAATACTCTAAATGTTTATTAACTCTAATTTGTGCTTATAGACAGGCAAACATTTTTGTTGGGTTTTGATAGCAAAATTCGTAAAAGTCAATGTAAGTATATAAAAATTTAGGGAATTTGGCCATTAAAAACATATTTGCCCCAACACTGTTTCCTTTGCTGAAAGTTTTCAAACGTGATTCGATCATGCACCTCTCATAATTTTTGCCATGATCTCATCAGCTGTGTAAAAATAATACTCTTTCAGACAGTCTTAGGAATCAAGAAGATTTTCAGAGAGCAAGATATGGGGAATGATTGTCTGGTTTTTGAAAACCAGGAATTATTGAACAATTGTTGAATTATGTCATAGTAAGAACACTTGTTGTTCTTGCAGTTGTGTTTCTACCAAATGCTCTCCCTGACTTTCTTCAACACCTTAGAGTAAAAAATATCATTTACATTTTGCTCAGTCATTGCATTCAACATTGATTTGACATTACTATGAATTTGATGCACCTTTTTTTGGGGGGCCTTAATAATTTTGCTAACTTCTGTGATGATTACAGCTTTGTTTTGGTCATACCATTAACTGCTTATGATTTTGTTGGTGAAATTGTTAGTCTCCAGTTTGATCTTCAAGTTCCCTGCACTCAAGACATTTTTATGTGGTCATCACTCAGCATTCTCAATAGAAATTTGATAGTAATGCATCTTATGTACAAGATGTCAATCAAAATGCATTGAATGGTCTCATCTGTATGGTCTTTACTGCATGGTTGAACATTCCAGAGTTCCTCACCATTAACATTCTCCACTGTACACCATCAATTCTGCATCATGATGGGGCAATAAGGTCAGATTTTACAGGTATAATAAATAAAAAAGAAAAGAAATAATACTATATCTGTCCCATAATAGTCTGTATATTTGCATATACATTTTACATGCTAAATGTAACAACTATTATGGGACAGAGGTAGTAAGTCAGAAATAAAGAGATAAGCACTTTTTTTATGTTCCTTCAGGATGTAGACAGTCATGGCTCTCCACAGATTCCTTGTCTTTTATTATGCTTAATACACACACACACACACACAAAAAAGCTGTTTCATTTGAGCTCTAAAAATAACAACTGCTTTCTTTGTCTCTTAGATTTCAAATCATTTTTTTTTTACATTCATTAAAAAAAAAATTATTTCCTTCTGGCTTTAAATATCAAAGAGAGTTTACTTAAAATTCACATAGATAGTCTGATGTGATTTTACAATGTTTTTCAGTGTTGATGATCATCCAAAACACACTTATCTTTATTGACACTCATTTGTCTTTCCTTGAAGTATTCATGGAAAAGATTTACTTAAGCTCATAACCTTACAATGCTTTAAGTCATCAGTATATTTTTGTAGCAGTTATTTGTTTTATTCTGTTTTTTAAAAATTTGCTACTCAAGATGAAAATCACTAAATCACTGCTAAAATAGTCTTATAAAAATTTTTGTCACTCAAGAAAATTGTTTTTCAGTTTGTTTCTGATTGCACACAATCAAAAATGGTAGCAGTAAAAATCTAGTTGGTTTGCATGTACTGTTTAAATTCTGTGTACTTTTTTTTCTATAGCCCTTTGTAAAATAATTTAATTATAAGTATTTGTCCTCCAAACTCGTATCAACATATAAGTAATTAGAAGTGTCTCAGACTAAGTCTTCCGAGCTTTAAAATTAAAAAAAAAACTGTTGGTGCTAAAGTCAAACAGCTCATGTCTTATCTCTGACAAATTATAACTCGATCTTCCGAGTGTAACTCTAAACAAAAAAGTTAAGCTGCCTAATGTGCTCTCATTTATTTATCTATAAATATTATATCCATTTGCTTTAATGTAAAGTCAGGTAAATGGTCATGTGACATTGATAGATAAAAGCCTTCGTTTATTTTTATACCAACATTGTCTATTAATAATTGGATGAATTACCTATACTAATGACAAAATCAAAATTTTCACTTCTGGCAGGTTTGTTAAATTAAGTTTTTGCATTTAACTTACAGTTACTCAGGCCTAAACTGTTTTATACTTAATGACTGTGACATATTGTTTTATATATTGTTAGCTATGAAATTGGAAAACACTTCCTTCTTTGCTATATTTGCATAAACATTGTACAACACTTAACATGGTTTTTCTTTTACACTTACATAATATAGTAACTATTATTGAAGTGAGTTTTTAGATGTTAAGAAAAATGATTTGAGATAATAGATTTAACAGTTTACTAAAATAACTGAATAATGAAGAAACAGATTTTTTTTTTTTTTTTTTTTTAAATCCCTCTCTCTTCATTGCTCTTTAGGATGGATGTGTAGTCCACCTTTCCAAGTATTTGTAAAAGATTTTATTCAGTTTTTGATTCTTCTCTTTTACTGGGGTAAATAAAATAGAATTTTTATACATTGTTTGGTGTCCATAATTGTTTTAGTTTTGAAATTATATTAACTTTCAGATGAGGCTTTTTTTGTCTTTAGAGATTAACAGCAGATAATTTGTGTTTCATATTTTTATTTGTTTATTTTTTTTTTTTTTTTTTTTTTGAGACCGACCATGAGTTATCTTGTCTTAGTGGTCTTGCTATCAAAGCTATAAGTTTTTTCATTGTTTTTAATGCAAATAACTGGTTCCTGGCATCTAAGGTAGGAATGCAAAATCATACTGCCAACTAAAAACAAAATTTTATTGCCTAAGTTGGCTATTATAAAATTGACATTTGATGTCAAATTCATAATAGACTTCTGGCAGTCAACAACACATATTTCTAAACTCCTTTTATGAATTTTATTTTGTACATATTTTATTTCAGTAAGTGGTTATTAAATGATGTAATAAGTCTATCTAAAAGTGTTTTTCCTTGTGCATTTTGGTTACAATCTAGATAACTGAAAACTTAAGTACATTCATTTGGAAGGGGTAATAGTAATAATGAATTGCTAAGTAAACATAAACTATTAACTTTGCTTATTTTGTTTATTTTAAGCTTCTAAAGATTTTTTATCTCTACTTTCTTCTAAGTCACTTTAGCAATTTCAAAATGTCAGCCTCTCTTCCCATTTCTCCTTCCTGATTGTATTTATAACAGCAACAATATTTTCCTCTTTTCTTATTGATGAGTTTAGATCAATAAGTCCATTACCTGAAATATAGTTATGAACTGAATTGAGTGCATCAACAATGAAAAATATTTGTGTAAAAGACTGCAGACTTATATAGAATTGGCTAACAAGGGTGGGCTGAAAACTTTATAGGCTGACTATAAAGGAGTGATTCATGCTGACATGGTTGCTACATTAGCGAATGACATTCTAGCTTTATCAACATTGCAAAAGTAGGTAGCTAAATTTAGGAGGGGAAGGGAGAGCCTTGAAGATGACTCAAGGTCTGGAAGTCCTGCAACTGCCACCGCTGAGGTAAACATTGATCGTGTTCACCACATAGTGATGGATGACAGGCAATTGACTACAAATCAAATAGCCAGTGCTGTTAGCATATTCCATAATAGAGTTGAGAACATTCTGCAATATTGAATTTGAACATGATGAAGGTTTCTGCTCTGTGGGTGCCATGTATTCTGGGTGCAACCATCAAGCTGACATTGTTTGAAGCAAATTTCTTTAAACATTTCTTAACCCATGATGAGTGTTGCATTCATCAATTTGAACAAGAGACAATCCATGTAGTGGAAACACCCTCTCTTCACCTACTCTACAGAAAGCCAGTGTCATTTCATCTTCAGAGAAGGTAATGGCCTCAGTTTTTTTTGTAAAACGCATTGTGTTTATTGACTATCTACAAAAGAGCCACACCCTCAATGGAGAATACTACGCCAACTTGCTGAGGTAGTTACAAAACCAAATGTCCAGGAAAACTAACAAAATAGAGTTTTGTTTTATCAGGACAATGTTCCAGTACACAAGTCCTTGGTTTCAATGGCTGATGTGCATGTGACTGTGGCTTTAAACTGGTTGATCACCCTCCCTATTCTCCTAATTTGACTATCATCTGTTCCTCAACATGAAAAAAAAAACACTTGGCTGGGAACAAATATTGCATGGTTTTTCTTTTACACTTACATAATATAGTAACTATTATTGAAGTGAGTTTTTAGATGTTAAGAAAAATGATTTAATAGATTTAACAGTTTACAGGATGAACAGTCTTATTTGAACAGTCAGATAACAGTTTACATAGAAAGAAATGATGCAGTTATTAATAAAAGTTGAAATTAATGCATGTGAGATTTCATAGCTCTAGCATCACTCCTTCATAGCCTATGAACTTTTCAGCCCATCCTTGTATACTCTGCATAAGTAATTTACTATCAAAAATTAATTTTCATATATTTGTTAGAAAGTTAAACTTGAAAAAATTTAACAATTACTAAGGTTTTTTTAATTAAATCTAAAAGAGTAAACTCCTTAGTTGTAGATTTTATTATTGAATGCCTGAGGCGAATAAAGAAAACAGTAACCAGCGAGTAAATTCAAGCTCTCCCAGCTGGTATTTCAACCTTGAGTCGTTCCTTCTTGAGTTCTGTCTCAAAATCACACTAACAGACTGTTCTTGCCGCCAACCGTGAACGTCACTCGAAGAACTCAAGAAGGAATGACTCAAGGTTGAAATACCAGCTGGGAGAGCTTGAATTTACTCGCTGGTTGCTGTTT